CAAGAAAACCACAAAATAATTTTTTTACACATTTTATCTAAATGTAAAGGTTGTGTGAAATATGATTCCCCACGTAGAAATATCAATGTTTTTTAAATACTCATAAAAATAAAATTATAAAAAAATTAATTCTACATAAATATTTTCTTTTTTGAAAAACTACCAAATTTATTTTTGTCACGTAGGAAATAATAGAATGCATCAACAAAAAATGAAATGATACTGTGCAATAGGTAATAAAAAGATCTTTCTGAAAATATATAGTTATATTTAGTTGAATTCTAAAATGTCGGAGAAATTTATGTCGGAATGTAAAATTTTGAAGATTTGTTTACAATAACATAATATTTATGACATTTTTAAAAACAAATACAATTTTTACAATCAACCTTATAGATTCACAGGGAATCCTAGGGAATTTATTGTAGTTTCAGAATATTTACTAATATTGTATACAATTTAATTGATAATCACCAAAAACAGCTGTTTTTGTAGTCAGGTGACCAAAACTTTCCACCGCCAAAATCTATTTTGAATTCTCTAGTTTTTCAAACTATGTTTCTCGCTACATAATACTCACTCAATAATGTTTTATGCATGAAAATGAATCCTCAGAATCTTATCTTTCTAATGGTATGAGATTTATTGCGTTTTAAAACTGTTTTCATATTTTAATAGTAGAAAAACCCGACCCATGTCATCTTGGTCTATAATCGACCAGCGCCACTGAGAACTCACGTTTTAGTGGTCGAAAATCGACCAGCGCCAGATAGAGGGTCAATGAAATTGTATAAATTATAGGCCTATAAATATTTTAAAATAGCCACTTTGTTCTAAATTTTATGAGGATTACAAATATATAATAATATAAGGAAGTAGATTTGCAAATAAATAAGTTATGGGCAAAAAACAGATTTCAGTACATAGCGTTTAGCTAAGAATGCATAGCTCACCATAGCTAGGAATCTGGCTGATAATTTACATCAATATCACTACCTACTTCTTCAGGATCATCAACCAGCCCTTCAAAATCACTTAAATCTTCTTATAATGCACCACGTATATCACTACTTTTGATTTTTAACACTAAAACAATGATAAACATAATAAAACACATCAGTCATCGGTCCGAGATTAACTAACCTGTTTACAAATACGCACGTCAGCTGTCTGCTACAATTACGATCGGCTCGGAGAACATAAAGCGCTTAGAGACAGACCTCTGGAGAAAGCTTAGAATATAATGAAAAGAACGATACCAAACTCGATCCAGTTCAATCCGATTTTGTCAGTCATAGAGCCTTCGCCGTAAACAGTGTTCGTGAGTCGCTGCAGCGACGCATGACACTCGGAGGGTTAAATGAAAATCTGCTCATTCTATCTTGTATGCAAGAAATGTTACTACAATCAATTGCACTCTTATATTGAGATTGGTCTGTTTTCCTCGGCATTTTCTCGTCGCCAATATAGAATAATCAATTATTAAAACTAATTTTAAGTAAACTCAATCAAAACTATTTATTTACAAAAAACAATAATAATGTAAACAAACCAAATAGCAGATGATTCATAACTCAGCTGATAACAATAATCCTACACTTAGGAATTTGATTTTTGCAGTTATAAATCAACATACACCTTCTATAGGGAATATTGTTTGGCCAATAATAGTTAAGTTGAAGAAGGCCACAACCATAATCACTTCAATCATTCAATTCCAACCAATGCAATCAATTGAAGACAATTTGTAAGACATTTATTTGTTTTCAAGCATTCGCCCTTTTCATGGTATACTCTATTTAGAGCCCATAAAAGTGACTTGATCATGTTTTCCTAGACTGATATGACTGTTTTAATTGTTCTAAAATCAGAGGCAAAAACTAATGAAAAAAAGTTGTCACTCAAAACTAATGGAATGGAAGATGAAGCGGTAAGTTTATACAATGTGAGCGAGTTACAGAAGTTTGTCAACATAATTTATACTCTTTATTCAAGTTTACATAATGTGATAGCTTATCTCATTACAGAGATAAGCTTGTTCTACTTTCTTCTTGAATACATCTATAGTAGGTCTAATATCACAATAAAATAATTTAATTCCATTCAATTGGCCCTTAATAAATTGTTGTTTCTCACCTTGAAACATTAAATGTAACATTTTTGTAGTTTAACATAATTTTGTTTACAGTAGGTTGTAATAGAAAGTGGAATTTCGCTTTTCAATTTTACATATATATGTTAAGGTACATGAAATTAATAATAACTGAGTACAATGGGATACCTATGAGTATTACTTACCTTACTAGAGTAATAATTGGGTTTAAAAAATACATTTTTGTTGCTTTATTCTTGGTAGGTACACATTAAAAAAAGTGATTTTTCAAATACGTAAAAATGTCAGATTTTAGAACTAGCAATGGGATTAGAAAATCAATATAGATTCCTCCAATATCAGTAACAGTTTTAACTTCTACAAGTTACTTGTTATAATCGCAGTAACCTACCAGCAATTGCAGTACAGACTACCGTACCCGGGCACAATATTTTGATAGAAGTTTGTCATCATGTATTTAAGGTTAGTTTATTACAGAACACAACTACAAAAGGTTTGGATCGCTTTAAGCTTGTCACACACTGCGTCCAGTCCAGTAAATATGGATCAAGCATGCCGGATCAGGTAAATTCGGAAACCATTCAAAAACTATTAATTCAAATGGAAGTCCCCACACTGCATCCGGTCCGGAGCGTCAGGTGCGGTCCGGTACAATTATTTTGGATGAGAAGTGATAGGCTTCCGGCACCGGAGAGCTCGCGCATTGTGCAGACCAATCTCTCTTGTGTAGATATACTCTTTCTGAAGTTTGTATCCTTTCTTACGATTGATGATTCAAGAAGAGAATGAAGTTCCATAAATTTCTCTAAACTCATCCGGATATACTGAAAAAACTTTTTGTTGTCCTCAATCAAACGTGGGAACAAGGTATGAAATTCTTCCTCATTTATTCTACTTACGTTTATACTGTGCACCCACAACCTCTTCTGTCGCCGACGCTCTTCCTTTTCCGAAGCAAGAGCTGCTGCAACTACGAAGATCTCTTCTTCACTGTCACTGTCACTCCATTGCTTTAGGAAAATTTTGTTAAAACTAACTAATTTGTTGTTGGTTAAACACTTCTTCAACTCACATTACCGCTGTCCTCGCATAGACTGGTCGCCGGAACTAGAACGCCTGATGCAGTGTGTGGAAATTTGCCGGATCCGACAAAAAACACCAGATCAGAATTAACCGGACCGGACGCAGTGTGTGATGAGCCTTACCTTAAAAGCAGTTGAGATCCTTTCAAGTTAAATGAATAATGAATAATGAATTTTATTTCCTCAAAAACAAACAATCATCAAATCATAAAACAATTCGGAAATTAACTGACCACTTTGTCCAGTATTTGTGGCCAGTGTACACAAAACTTATCTTATCTATACATTAAATGAAGAGTTCAGTCTTATCAATCTGTTACTAAAATTATCACTCCTGCTGCTACCTGTAGCGTTACATATTGAAATTAAGTCTACTTCTAAAAATTAAAAAATATACATATTTGACTGCGTGAAATGTAAATAATGAACACAAAATATATTAAAAAAATACTACAATTTAACGATGTGAAAAACATAGATTTTATTCTAAAACATTACGAAGCAACGAAGTATCATTTATATTACATGACCATTCTTTCAACCTTTTACAAAAACTGTTAACATTATTACTTCTTTTTATATCAATTGGCAACATATTAAAAACAAAAGGCCCCAAAAATAAATACGAATGCTTGAACAGTTCTTTGTTGACTTTAGGGGTCCTGTAAAACAAATTATCTAAACTTCTGGTATTGTAATATAGGTTATCAGTTCCATTATTCCCACTTTTAAGATAAAACAATTTTAATACTTTAAATATAAAAAGATTCTGAATCGGCATTATTTTTTATTGAAAGTATAACAGAAATGAGCTTTCTCTCAACTGTTTATTAAAAATAATTCTTAAAAAATGATTTTTAGTTGTTCTTAAACGATTGATGAAACTTTTGAAAGTACCTCCCCAGCATATTAATCCATGCTAAATGTCACTGTAGACACTTTAAAATGCATCAACACTTTTGTTAATGACTATTGTTTGAAGCAATAGAGCATTTTTAATCCAAGATAAATATAAGTACTGTACCAGTATAACTTGGAAGTAACTTAGGGACATTTAATAAAACCAAGACAATTAGATCCATAATCACAAGAAATACCAAAACGCTAAACAAAAGTTTTATCAGAAGAGAATAAGATTATGTTGAGGTAATTTTATTAAAGTGTCTAACTGAAAAATTATTCATCATTTAGACGTTTTTCTTATGTTGATGCTCTTAAAAAGGTTGCAATTTTTAAAATGGCTATTTTAAATTCTCAGAGTATTTTTACACTGGGCTTTAAAATTTCAATTTCTTTGGTGTATAATTCATATTTTTCAAATTATCTAATAATCAGAAAGTATTGGTTTTAAAAATTATGAATTTTGGTTCTGTTCCAAAAAGAAATACACAATACAGAAAAGTCAGATTTATTTTGAGTTATTTCATTCAGATGTTTAAAACTAATAAATAATCTATTGTTATTTGAATTGCTCCAGTATTTTTTTTAGATACAATCTACATTACCTTTTCCCTACACGAATCATTCCCACTACGTGTGAAAAATCTTGTTTGGACTTAATATAAATGTATTATACAATGTATTCATTGAACAGTTACTAACTGCTATTAAGACCTCAACAGTTTACACAAAAGAGTTAGCTATTAAATCAGTTATTATTAAGCTATCAATTTAGTTAGAATTTTCAAATAGGTTCCTTAAAAAAAACCTGTTCGCCTGTTAAAACTACGAGTACATTGCTAACTTGATGTAATTTGCATAACTTATGTGTTATATTATTAGGTGATTGTAAATCTAGCACTTACCTGATACAGCCTAATGACATGACAATGCCTTAGTTTTGTCAAAATTTGAATTTCTCTAAATATTTTCTTTAAATTATCTTCATCTAACTTGGTTTTGTCTATTATCTTTATTGCCACCTAAAACAAAGGAAAAACATCAATGTAATTCTTAACAAGTACTGTACCGGTAATTAAGTTAATCTTTGAAAAGGATTACACAGGGGAGATTATATTAAAAAAGTATTAAAAGTTAATGTGTAAAAGTGTGACCTCATTCGCTGTTCTTCATCTCATTGTTGGTCAAAAATGAATCGGTGATGTTGGAATCTGTTCACTTTAGCTGTATGTTTGTATAAAAAGAGAATACTTTGTTTTAAAACTATGATGAATATGTAAAAATAGCCACTACACTAAAACAAGTAATACAAATGTATATACTATCTCTTATGATAGACACCAAGAAAACAAACACAAGACTTTGGATTGAATATATAAATGAGATGAATTTTACATTTTTATAGGGTTGTTCTACTATGAATGAATTAGAGTTATACAATTTACAAAGTACAGAATACCCATCGATCTCTATAACTACAACTGGATAACACTGCGTCACTGCAATGCTTAGAACTAGCTCGTATCTGTCCGACCCCTGTAACGATGAACCGTGCCGCAACAGTCATCCATTTCATAATATGGAGCTACCGTGTTTTCATTGATAAAAACTGACGTTTCTTTAATGATACTTGCCTGTTTCAAATGCGGGGTCCCCTATAAAAAAGTAATTTCTGGCCATATATGGCCATATCAAAATTCCATATATGGTTTTATAAATCCATATATGGGTTTTGATGAGCATATATGGAAGCATATATGGCCAGATGTGGTTGTATCCATATATGGTGGTGTCCATATATGGCCATATATGTAGTATATATATGGAATTATTGTTCATATATGGCCATACATGTTTTCGATATATGAAACAATTGTTCTTATATGGCCATACATGTTTTCTATATATGAAATAATTGTTCATATATGGCCATACATGTTTTCTATATATGAAATAATTGTTCATATATGGCCATACATGTTTTCTATATATGAAATTATTGCCCATATATGGCCATACATGTTTTCTACATATGAAATTATTGTTCATATATGGCCATACATGTTTTTTATATATGAAAATATTGCCCATATATGGCCATAAATATCCTCCATATATGGAATTATGGTCTATATGGTCATATATGACTCCCAGGTATGAAATTAAATTACTCATATATGGAATAATAATTTTCCATTTATGCTCATCTATAAATGAGTTTTTGACAATAACTGGAATTATTATAAGGGATTGTTGCCACTTTAGGATTATGTAACTCTCAAACTCCCAAACACTTCTTATAATATTAAAAATCTAAAGTTTATCAGTTTGTGTATTTTCTTGTTGCTCTCGCAAGCACAAACTACTTAACTGATTGAGTTGATATGTGGTACAGTAAGGGGGCAGATAATATAGGCAATTCTCCTTTAAAGTAATTATTAGTAAAGAAATAAAATATCCAGATTTGAACCCTGATGACAAAATCCTGTACATACATCTATTGTACAATTTTATTATAACGCAACAAAATCTTAAAACTGACGTATAATTTTAAAATTGTAAGTGTAGTAGGCCTAAACAAGGAGAATATTATATTAATAATTAATTAATTGTACCTTTGCTATCAAACAGCCTCAAATATCAATGTCACGTAGTTAGGCTATATTAATAATAACATTCTTCAAATGACATAAAATGTCTAAGAAAAATCTTGTTTTACGAGACCAAATACAGCTTCTCTTATTCGTAATGGGTTTTGATCATCCACATGATATGAAGCAATCGTGGTGTAGTGGCTAAGGGGGCAGACTCTCACGCCGGAATCCCGGGTTCAATTCCCAGTCAGATGCTTAAAAATCTTGTTTTGAAATTTTTGAATTTAAAATTTTTATTATAGTTTTAATTTATAGTTTATACCATTTAAGGTAAAAATATGTTTAATTGTTATTTTTTTATTTATTTATATATTTTTTATTAAAAAATTCCATATATGGAGGATTCCATATATGATCATCCATATATGATCATATCTGGGGGATTCCATATATGATCATATCTGGTTGTATTTGGTCCAAAACCAAATATAACCGGATAAAAAAAATTGTATATGGCCATATATAAACTTTTTCATAAGGGGTTCACCGTTGTACTCGTCACAAAAGTAAAGAGATTTTAGTATAATTTTACTTTAGTTGCATACGCTATGGAATATAGGAATCTAGAGCATGATATTCACAGTTTCATAGATACTAAATGAAACCCATCGAAATGAACAGTTAAGGCCAAGTCACACCGAGCTCGCTCCCGCGGCGGGAGCGAATTTTGACAAATCGCTCACCATGTTATCAAATGTGCCAAGTCACACCGCACTACCACACGCCCGCGGGCGCGTTTTGTTGTTGTTGGTAGTGTCCGCCACGTCCGCCTGCTGAGCGATTTTTTGAGACTACCGCGGCGGGAGTTTTGTCTAGCGCATGCGCAAAGGGGCATTTCGAATGCCCAAGCTATTTAAAGTTTAAAAGTAATACAGTTTAATAAAGTTTTCAATTAAATTTAACATGTTTCTTTTGTTTGATGATGTAGTCTATGTTGTTTTGTATTATCTTCGTAGTTATGTTTATCACCAGAAAAAAATCATTTTTGTTTACCATGCAAAAATAATGTTTACTGTGAAAATTCTATGTTTCCCATAAACATTTTTATATTGCCGACGTAAACCATTTTTTTATTGTTTCATCAACTTTTTCGATTTGCAACAATCAAAACTTTACAATCAATGTAAATTTGAACTTCCAATAGAAGGCTTAGCAAAAAATTACATTAGTTTTGAAATGGTCATATGTTTTTATTTAAAAAGTAAATAGTCTTTGTAGTGTAGCGAAAAATAACGTTCAAAAGCTGAAAGTGGATAATTTATCCACAACCATATTTAAAATGCTTCAAACACAAGGTCTAAATTAAATTTAAAAAATAGTTATTGACTTTTTAAAGTAGCCCTACACTAACAAAATTAATAAACATTCAATTGCTTCTTAAACACTTGACTTAAAACCTGCAAATTTACATGGCATACTAAACAGGTAAGATGAGTTTCTTATGTAAAACGAATTGTAATGAACTCATCTCAAAACTCCCGCCACGGACGCGAACTTTTGGTGTGACATGGCTCGAGGAAAAACATCCGCGCGCTGTACTCCCGCGGCGGGAGCGGCAGATGTCGGTGTGACATGGCCTTTACTTTCAAGGCTTACGCTAATTCATCTAACTACGATAAATAGGGTTAAATTATCAAAATGTTAACATTTAGCTTTGTTTAATGAGTAATACATGAGTTTCAAAAATAATAATGACTATTGGGAAAGTTACAAAATATGGTTTGATTATTAAATGAATCAAATATTTCCAGTACCTCATCGGAGTTATTATTACTATCTGGTTTCATCTCCTTTTGAAGAACATTTAGATAGTTTTCACATCGTGTGGATGGAACTTTTCGGTAAACACTTCGGCGATTTTGTCAGTGCAAGGCAGATAAAATCTATGTTTTTTTATTTGAGAAAAAAATATCTGTTTACAAGGCACGTTCTTACATCAAAGGGAGGTCAACCCTTAAGCTGTGAAATTTTGATTATTTCCTTCAAACGTCAGTCACCATACCTAATCTTCTACATATCTATCTTCATATCTAGGTTTTCTCTGCTACCTAATAAATTGACCTAGCTAGCAAAATTTTGAGAAATTTGACCGTGGGGTTGCTGTTAAAGCTGGTATTCCTTGACATCTGGATGTCACTAAGCCTTATCAATTACATCAAGTTGTCGACAATATATCTCTTCGGAATGTTGTAGGTGTAGTGGGATATACTTGTAGTGAACCTAGATTTTATTATTAAACTGTTAAACTGCATTGCCAAAAAGCAAATACTGTAAATTGGCTGTTGTGTGAATAGTGACGTTTACATGCATTATTGATAATCAACGAATCTTATAAAGGATGATGAGATCTAGTTTAAAGGAAACATGGCCTCCCTGTGACAATAGCTGCTTAAATGGTAATCAACCTTAGTGCCAATTTTTTTACAGTTGAAGTGCAGTGTAATTTTCAAAAATCTCACTTAAGAGCAAGTGGGCCACGGTTTGTAATAGGTCACTGCAAATCCTGCAAATCATCTGTCAAGATAACATTTTAGGCAAGGTTTCTGTGTTCGGATGTTATTAGACTTGATAAGAACACAATGAACTTCCTCTGCAGATGAAGAATCTATTGGTTAAAGAAATTTAAGCCGAATTGTGAATGTCACAATCCAAGCGCATTTAAATGGCTGTGGCCTGAACTTTTTGTAGTATCAAGTTAGAGAATATTTCTTTGAAACTATCTCGGTAATATAGTACTTTTTAAGGCTGCTGCTCGGTGCACTTTGAGGATATTTTGTTACAGATTAATAAAATGAATTTTGTTGCTGAGTAGGGTTGTCAAACATGTCAACCCTTTTAGCGAATTTCCCATAGGGAATAAGCTATTATCGTAGGTCTCATTGTAAGACCTAGACCTGGGATCGATTTACTTTTTCGTTTTGAAGTCCCCAGAAGCCAAAAACACCATCCGTTCAAACTCATGTATATATAAAATATATATATATATACATATGTGTCCGTTAGCGCGATAACTCAAGCAAAAATGATCCAATTTTGATGAAATTTGGTACAAACGTGTAAACCTATGTTTATTCTAACCAGTTCCCGAACCAGCATAATCGGACTATAGGAATGGGGGTTTATGAGGGATTTATGGGGTATTGATTTTTCCCATTTTTGACCCTAAAAACACAAAATTTTATAATTTCTCTACGAGCCTTTTTGTAGAGCTTAAAAAAATAAATAATTTTGTATATTGAATCGTTGTTGTATGCCCAATGGTAACGAAGATCATTTACAAAATTGTAAATTTAAAATTCCCATGTTATTCTTATGGATAATAAATAAACTGTTGTAGTTTGCTTGTTTATGGATATATTTTAACCAAA